AGAGCAGAGAGGCCTGACCGAATTAGAACGTTCGTCCCTTCGAAACGTAATTTACGTTTCCGCCAGGATGCATTGATTTGTGGTGGTTCCGCAGCTACGAGCATCCGAATCAAAAACGGTCGCAATTTCATGCGATTCGTTCTACTTTTCAAATTAAACACCCGTTGAATGACCGAAGTTAGATTTATCTTTCGAATTTTATTCGCATCGATTTACTTTGTATTCGTTGGCTGCCAATTGCGAGCAAACATTGCCTTTTTTTGGGGAGCTAGTTGATTTCGTTTATATATAAAATAATTCTTTCTGCGTATGTATGTAGAATTCAGTATTTAGATAAATATTCGACCTAGTTCAATTTCTGCTTAATTTAGTTTATATAGCTTGCGGATGTGACAGGTTTAGATTAAAGTGGGTCGTTTTGCATTATTATTATCCCTACGTTCACCCTATACTCGGTTGAAAGAAATATCGATCACGTTAAAAAAAGAAAATTTTTTATAAAATTACATATATTTTGTACTTCACTATCTTTGCTTTATTGATCATCTCAATAATCATCCATAAAAAATATTAATCACATTTGAAAAGAAATACAACCTCGTCTAAAAGATAGTTTCTAGTTCGAACCATTTCAAGTTGAAAATATTTCAACGAAGTTTCAAAACTGATCACATTTGATCGATCAGTTCAAACACACCCAATAAGATATTATACCCGCTCATTTCATCCTCATTAAATATGGAAGTTAATGTAACAAGTTCTACAGGTGTTCCCGCGAAAATCGTTCGATACATTTATCGAATAGCGACGTATAATTGTTCATTCTGAATGTACTATTACTAGTACACGGAGATTACGCGCTATTGTCTCGGTCTAATAGCTGCATGTTGACATAATTAATAATACGTCACCCGTGCTAGAACGTGTTGGGTAGCTGTCAGCAATATTCCACGGTGCATCGGTTGCCTGGTTATCATGTAAACTGCATTACCTGATTAAACTAAAGATCGGCATACGAGCTTAAGATTGCCATGTTTGTGGTTACAGTAAAATTTCTAACATCCTGATTTCATTAATAATTTATACATTTTATACTGGTTTTAATTTCTTAGGGGGTCTTTATGAAAACATAGCTTTCATACAATCCATTAAAATTAATTATTCAAATCGACTGGAGTGGAAATTTTGTACAACAGATTTTAAGTGGAATTTATATATTTTATGCATGGAGTAATTTACTTGTAAATTGATTGATTCATAGTTCGCAGTAAAGCGACATTTACGAGAATATCGGTGAAACGCTTATGTAGTAAATTTCAATCAACTTCAAGCTTCAAATTCATGCCATAAGTGATATTTAGAGGTACATGTCATCAAAAGCACATAGTCTGCTTCTATGCTCTACTTGTCTGTATTACATTAAGAAAATTAATGAAGAGTTTATGAAGATATCTTACTCGAAGCTTGAAATCCATCATAAATGTTACCAGACTAAATTGATCATTTCACAATAGAAAAATGAATGACTATCAAATTTTAAGCATCAAACGTATCATGCAACTGCAAGATTTATGTAATCAATTTTGATATGAAACGAGTTAATTCGGCGATTGCAGCAACAATATTTCATCAGATCCGTTAAAAGCCAATAACACACGGAACGGTTCCACGCGTGTCTGACACTAATGGCGGACGATCAAGCAGTTTATCCGAACGCACGCGTAACGAGAGAGAAAGCGATGGAGAATTTATGCACCATCTATACGGAATTGTAACGTTGGAAGTGGTGCTCAAGAGATGGCAAATAAATTTCATGCCGAGGAGAGAAGCGCGAATACAAAGTTGGCCGGTACTAGTTTCACGGTACGATAGTTCCGCGAGTAAAAGCATGTCGTATTTAAGGGATATATACGTATATAGACGGGACTCTGTGTCCACAACGAAACCATCAGAAACTCGGTCAAGAAGCATCGAGGAAAACACTCGGTTACGCTCGCGTTGTGAAACGAGCTTGAGTAGGAGAGAAGTGGGTACTTTAGACTCGTTTAGGTTCCTCAACGTTGCTCCCTTGCTCGTAATATCCCCCGTCGCGTTGTGCGGATATCCACACGAAGTCGTAACGCGAAGCTTTCGACCAAGTGCCATCTTATTTCTCGACCATGATCGTACGCTTCATTAAATTTATTCGACTATTCCGACGGATTACGAAACAATTTTTTTGAATTTCGCGCCGTGCGGCCATCTTTTAAAACGATTACACGCTGTCATAGACGGAGTAACAAAGAACTATAGACTGGATTTGTAACATTAATGTGGTCATAAGTTGATGAAAATTAACTTCGAAGATTTCGAAATCTATAGGTTTGGGTCTTGAGATTTTAGAACTTCATGAAATGAGATTGGGACTTTATGGGATTTTAGATCTTTAGCTCGGAAATTCTTGAACACTGGGTAACTTAATGCAATCTCAATTATAATCTAATTCAACTTCTCCCGATTCTAAACTTACTTAACTTAATCCAATATGAATCTGATCTACGATCTATCCTTAATCTGATCTACAAACACAATTTCGATCGAGTGAATATTAATATTAACAAATAGACTATATGAAATATCTAGCTAAAAATGACGGAAAGTTCCCCCTAAAATAATAACAAAATTCTTAATTGTCCCCAATTTTGAGAAGAACCTTTTCAGATCAAAAGGTCGTAATAACACGTAAATTGATATTCAACCATTTCCATTTGCCAGTGCAGAAAGGACATTTTCAACTTCGACCACATTATTCTACAAACACACGAAGTACACAGAACATCATACACGTTACAATTGTCCCAAGTAATTATCTCGTTCCATTCGTGTGCCAACGAGCGAGGGTGTACACGGGGTCGGGGTGTTAACGAACCGGACAATGAGTAGTCACGGTTCGTTAGATACTCAACAACCAAATAATTAGCAAGTCTATTTGGAGTCCCATGTGTCTGGATTTTGGACATCACATAGCACCTTTGCCAGGCGTCATTTTACGTAATCAACCTTTGGTTATTCCTTGTCTTATCGAGCTTTCGCGTTGTCCTTTTACGTGACCATTTTATATAGCAAAGAAAATGTTTGTATCTGTCCTTTGTGTATATTGGTCAAGAGATACGACTGGTATTGTGTTCTAGAATAGGTGTATTGACAACTGTGTAACATTCACGCGACAATAGGCACACGAGAAGAATGATAATAGTTTGCTGGAGTACAATGGTGCAACGTATACAATAAAATTGATCTAACTCTCTGGTGTTATGATTATGCTGCATTTTTTGCAAATTTTGTAGGATGTGGGATGGTGAGAAATAGGATGGGTTTGTTTTACATTACCAAGTTTCTAATTTCTAAATTTCAAATTTTATAAATCGTCAAATCTCCAAGTACTTACTTCTCCAAATCCTTATATCCATACCCCATGTTCCCAAGTACTTACGTCCCCAAATATCTATATCCTAAATCATCAAACCCATAAGTTTTCAAATTCTTAAATTCCCAAATTTCCAAGTCCCTCAATCTCCAAGTCCCTATGTCCCCAAATATCTACATCTCTAAATCCTCAAATCCCTGAGTCTACAAATTCCCAAATTTCGAAGTCCCTCAATATCCAAATCCCTATGTCTCTAAATACCTATATCCCTAAATCCTCAGATCCCTAAGTCTTCAAACTCTCTAAATTCCTCAAATCCGTAAGTCCCCAAACTCCTCAAATTCCCCAAATCCCTAAGTCTCCAAACTCCTCAAATTCCCCAAATCCCTAAGTCTCCAAACTCTTCAGATTCCCCAAATCCCTAAGTCCCCAAACTCCCCAAATTCCCCAAATTCCCCAAATTTCTAAGTCCCCAAACTCCCCAAATTTCCAAAATTTTTGAGTCTCCAAACTCCCCAAATTCCCCAAATCCCTAAGTCCCCAAACTCCCCAAATTCTTGAGTCCGCAAACTCCCCAACTTCTCCAAATCCCTAAGTCCCTAAATTTCCCAAATTCCCCAAATCCCTAAGTCCCCACATCCAAATTTCTAAACCCCTAAATTTCCAAATCTCCAAATTAAAAATTCCAAATTCCCAAATTTCAAAAATCTGAAAGTTTGAAGAATTGAATATAAAACAAGAATAAATCTGTACAATCTTGATAATAGAAAATTTGTTGAAGAACGTAGTTAACAGAAGTTTGGAACATCGTTTGCCCGCGAGTTATAAAGTGTTTAAAATAGAGGTATTAAACAAAATGCTGACGTGTCGAGAAAGTGACGTACACTCGCAGGCAGAAGATTCGAGGATGAAGGAGAAGCAGGTGTGGGTTTATGCAAGACAAGCATTTCGCTGCATAATTTCAGTCTTAAAGTGCACTTTATTAAAATAACAACCACGGAAAACAAAGTTAAGTCAACCGGAACTGGTTGATCCGAAAGCTCTTTTATTACAAAGATACATAATGTTCTCTCGTTTCTTTCATAAAATATAAATATTTATATGTAGGAACTTTTTAACCCCTGATAGTTTAACATTGTTACTTATTTTATAACGTGTGTCTTGACGTTTATTTTGATATAAATTATATCACATTTAGTTACTGTTTGACAGTTATCTTTGGCGTGAGTAAATACTGATTATCTCCTGAAACACAAAAATATAGAAAAGTGAGTTAATTCTTGTCGAATGTTGTATTTAATATTTTGTAAATTATAAGGAGTACATTTCTCAGTTTTAGAATTTAATAATGTGAAGGTACAGAAATGTTTAAATTTGGTCATTTGTAAATTGTCTAAATTTGCAAATTTGAGAATTAACAACCTTGAAAGTTTTAACTTGTAAATTTGTAAATTTCTAAGTTTCTAAATTTCTAAATTTCTAAATTTCCAAACTTGTAATTTTTGAAGTACTCCATAAATTTGAACCTCAATCATCGACCCTAAATGATATAAAAACTTACCTCCAAATATTCCTCCCTGGAATTCCTCCATTTTCAAAAAATTCTATACATATCAAAATCAATAGCACCCAAAAAATCCCGATGCAATTGAGTGACAACAGGCACCCTAATGTCCTTATCCAACTTGATATTCAACTCTTCCAAATTGAGCGAAAATTTTGGAATATTCTCTTTGTTCACCCTGTTACATCTCTTATACTTTTTCGCTCGAGTTTGCAGCACCAAGGCTGTATTCTCCTCCGTTTGTTTCTCCGCAAAATTCACCTGTCTACTACAATTATTATTCCGTTCTCGCAAAGGAACTTCGTACTTCTCCACCACATTACTCCTAAATCGATGTAAAATAAGTTTCTTCGTCGGCAATGCCGCAAATTTCGAAATTTCTGTTCGATTATTCGTATCTTTCAAGCTTTTTTCAACCCTTTCCTCAGACAACACTTCAATGTTGACCTCTTGTTTCCTTAATTTTGTTTCGTTTGACAACACAGGTAATTTTGAACAAGTATTCATGAAAGATTTCAGTTTTCGATCCGTGAAGAATTTTATTAGAGGTACATTTTCAATGTCGAGGTCGCTGTAGGAGAACAGATACTCCACACACATTGTCGTTTTTAATTGTCTCTTTAATATTTGGTCCTTGATGCAAGTCTTCTCTAAAAATTTCTGTTTGAAATGCAATTCACACGAGTTGGTTATTTGTGTGGAAGGAGTGTGATCGATCGATTGGTTGATAATTTTGTATTTGGATCTCGATGTGATTGTGTGTAACCTCGTTTCGGGATGCGTTAACTCGCAGTGCACGTAGTAATCACCTTTGTTGTAAAATTGCGTCCCTGAAATAATATTTGACGACTTCATTTTTATTTGCTATGGGGCGTTACAAGATTAGTTTATGTAGAATATTTTGCTTTGAATTTAATATTTGAGTTGTCAGAACACTTTGAGATAGAGGAATCATCTGATATAAGATAACTATACTTTAATGCATGTCTACATTAAATAAAATTGCAAGTTAAATATAAATCTCACGTGTATATCTACATTAAATAAAATTGCAAGTTAGATACAAATGTCATGTGTATACCTAATGTTAAATAATGTAAAATAAAATCACAAGTTAGATAAAAATGTCACGTGTATATCTACATTAAATAAAATCACAAGTTAGATACAAATATCACATGTACATCCACAATTAAATAAAATAACAATATGACTACAAATGTCAATGTATATCTGAACGAAAGACCACGTGTAAAATGGCGCGATACATTGTATACCCTCCGAGTCGCAAAAGACTTGACTCATTGTCGCGTGTGGGGTCGAAGGTAATCAATCCATCAGATGAAAAGAAATGGCGCGAGGATATTGACAGAAGAACACCAGGGCTATTATTGCACAATGCTCCAAAAAGAAAGAGTCGTGCCTTTTATCTTACGAAACAGACAAACAATGATTCCAGAACCTTTGGATCTCGATGGCTCGGTTTGTTTGGGTATAGTGGAGACTATTGAACACTCTCCGAAAATAAAAGACGTTCTTCTCGCTTTAGAAATACAAAATCGTGGCAAGAATTGCGGGAAACTGGAATATTGTTATTAGACTGGGAAAATTTATTCAAATGTGATATGGGATTATGCAAAATATGGTTTATGTTAATAGGAAATTTGTATGATTTTATTTATTATTTTTTATTGATCGTAATGCATTTATATAACACAGATAAAATTGTTGAAGAAATAATTGTTCCATGTATATGAAGTTTAGTATTATTAAATTATTAAATTTATATAAGTATGTTAGATTATTAAACAATTTTAATCTATGAATTTCCATATATATTTTTGCACAGACAATCTATGAATTTATTATATAAAATGTCGTTATTATTCAACATCATTTCGACCACATTTTCAGCGTCATGTACTTGCATTTTTTATCTTTAATTTATTACTTGTGGCAATAATAACTGTGTCAATAATAATGAACTTGTGTCATAATAAAAGAAGAACAAAAATAACCCTATTATCAAGGGTATGATAATAAGAAAAGTTACGTTTATAATAATTAATATGAATAATGAATAATTACCGCAGCAAACGTATAGCTTCTTGTTCCAATGTATCCTTTGTTGATGACGTTCCACATTAAATCGTCGATTGCTTTCGTATTTGCAATCGGAGCAGGTGTAAATCTTTTCCTCTTTTGGGACCCATTCTTTTGGTACGTTGTCATTTTTATACGGGACACTGAAATTGCGTATCAATTATTTTATGCGCTACACTTCCGCAGAAGAAGGATCTCTACAACGCATAACTGAACGAATACACAAAAATCACATATCACAAGAATTCACAGAAACATTTGACGTAACTTCACTGACAAAGATTCTTCGTTTATGGAAATATTCCAACTCCATTATTTTATACAAACATTTGCAATGAAATTATTTTTTATGACAGTACACAATTCACCAATTCTTACAGTACAATTATTTTAACAATTTTCAAACTTTTTAATTATATGAAGGTTTTATAAAATGAACCTCTTAATAAATATAAATTTAATGTAATATAAAAATGACTCTCTTAAAACAATTTGAAATATGATTTTCCTGAAACAATCTCAAATATAATTTTTCAAATACGATCACAAGAACGATCTCCCAAATACAACCACAATTAACAATATAATAAATTAATTTTTCAAATACAACGTCAAATGAAATTTTTCGCGTACAATTTTTTAAACACTTTCAAATAAAATTTCTAACGCCCAATTTTTCAAATATGAAACAAAATAACTCACGAACAATTCTTGAACGCGAAATTGACTACGAAACGCGATTAAAGTAGCAATTTTCAAAGATAGCAGTTCGCTATTGTTCGAAGGTAGAAGTATGACGGTCCTTACATGTTCCTCCCTTTGTAAACTCTCATTGTTCAAAGCAGCTCAAAGTACGCAAATTTATGAAGATCTGTAGGTTATATTGTCAGTCGAAATCTTGACGATGTTCTCCGCACGCGTAGCGATGACTAACTGAGGCGGTGGTAAGAAAGTTCAAAGGGAAGGATCACGTTTGACACTATCGAAGCCGAACGCACGTGCGGTCAAAAAGATGAGATCTACTATTTCTTTCCATGGTCGGCAAGCTTTGTTCTACTTGCGTGAAATAAAGTTGTATCGATACTCCTTTGTTTTGTATCACCGGCAAAGGCATAATAAACAGACTTTTTAATGAGTCTGTCTCACCGCCTTTTATTTTTACATTCTGTCCTTGGTACTTTTTGACTGTCTTGTTTTAGTGCGTTGCAAATTTAATTGACATTATAAATTATAATTTGTCAAACTGTATTAACCTTACTTGTGACGCACACTGCTGTTGATATGTGACAAACCAGATTCATATTTTCACTGCAAATTGAATATTTAATCCTGATTATAATCTATATGCTGGTCGCTGAAGACAAAATGTATTTAAACATAGTAGGTGCCCTGTAGCAATAATTGTAGTGCAATAGAAAATTGTGGACTTGGGTTTGACACTAAAATTACCGGCATATAATGTATACATAACTTGAAATTAAAAATGAAGTCACAAAATAATTAAATAAACGACGAAACATAAATTAGTACACACATTTATTTTTTATCTTGATGAGAATGAATGCTGATTTCAAGGAATGTATTTTAACAAAATGTGTATCTTATAATAAGAAACTTGTGAAGCATTTGACTTGTTTGATAATTTTAGTCTTTAAAAAAATGTGTTAAAAATTGCATTAAACATAGCATAATGTGTCTGTTCAATTTTTATTTTCACCTCCTGAAATAATTAAAAATAAATATTAAATTATCTATGTTTAATAAGAGGTTCATATACTTGATATTATAATAATAATTCGAAATGGAACATAGTTCGATTTATAATTAAATCCTACGATAAACGTGTTCGACTAATTTTCTATCTGCATTCTCCGTAATACTACATTTTCTATATATCCGAAATGCGCATCCCTGAAACACTTTCAGTGTCGTTCAACCAGGAGACGCCATGCATTTTAAGCGGTGTCTATTTGGCGGGAAGTCGCGAGGAACGAATTTCGATAGGTCAACACGATCCTTGAATAATAAACAGCGTTAATTGTAGACGTGTACTGTTCCTCCGATCTGTGTAAAGTGCTTACCATCTTTCTGGTCGATTTCTTGAAAATCGTAAATGAATCCAGTTCGTTCTTGTTGTATTTGAAAGTTCCGGAGGAAATGTCTTTTCGATTTTACGGAAATTGCGTTTTCTTCTTGGGTGAATGCAAACGATCTTCTTGTATTTGGTTAATTTAACACGATCTCATTTAACGAAACGATTTTTATGCTTCGTTTAGTTATTTTATTAGATTTATGAATTGTTGGATTTTTTAATCTTTTGGTGGAAGGGTGAGAGATTTGTAAGGATAAGGATTTGGGGGTATAGGGATTTGGAAGTATAAGGATTTGGGGATCTAGGGATTTGGGGACGTAGGGATTTGGGGGCGTAGGGATTTGGGGACGTGGGAATTTGGGGAAATAGGGATTTGGCGATGTGGGAATTTGGAGAAATAGGGATTTAGGGACGTAGGGATTTGGGGACGTAGGAATTTGGGGATGTGGGAATTTGGGGAAATAGGGATTTGGGGGCGTAGGTATTTGGGGACGTGGGAATTTGGGGAAATAGGGATTTGGGGACGTAGGGATTTGGGGACGTAGGGATTTGGGGACGTAGGGATTTGGGGACGTAGGGATTTGGGGACGTAGGGATTTGGGGATGTGGGAATTGGGGGATGTGGGAATTTGGGGAAATAGGGACTTAGGGACGTAGGGATTTGGGGACGTAGGGATTTGGGGACGTAGGGATTTGGGGACGTAGGGATTTGGGGACGTGGGAATTTGGGGAAATAGGGATTTGGGGATATAAGGATTTGGGGATGTGGGAATTTGAAGATATAGGTATTTGGGGATGCAGATATTTGGAAATATAGGGGTTTGGGGATATAGGAATTGGTGAACGTAGGGATATGGTCACGTAGGGGTTTCGGGATATAGGTATTTGGGGACGGTGCTAGTTGGGAACATAGAAATTTGGGGACATATAGATTTGGAGACATATTGATTTGGGGACATAGAAGTTTGGGAGCGTAGGGATTAGGGGATATAGAGACTTGAATATATACAATTTTGGGGATGTAGAGATGTGGACATGTATGGATTTGATGTTATAGAAATTCAACGATATACGGATTTAAGGATGTAGAAATCCTGCGATATAGAGTTTCTGCACTATAGAGATTCGATAAGTTATAAAAATTTGAAAGTATACAGATTGTATAGATTCGATAGGATATAAAAATTTGAAAATATACAAACACATAGATTTAATATAGAAACTCGTGTTAAAAATCACCAATAATAGTGACTTGTAAATATAAAGATTTACCACACCAAACACCCACGCACCTTGAAATATTGCAAATCCTATTTCCTAGTTACGCCAATAACAATCGGAAGCCCCTAAAAAATCAGTAACCACTCCAGATAACGGTACCTTAAGAACACGATCGAGATTCAACTAACCCGATAACAGTTTGGTCGCGTGTTAAATTGACCCACAGCGTGGTACATTTTCGCGATTAAAAGGCAACGGGACAATGTTATAGAACCGAGTACAACTCGAAGAAGGCATAGTTGCATTACACGCTGTATGCAATACCCGTACAAGCATTATACCGTGACTCGTAGCCGAGTTGCTCGTGCAAAAAAACTGCACTGTTCGATCTCGAGAGAAATACGTAGTTCTGTGCAAGAGAAGCCTGCAACCGGCCACTGAACTCACGACCTCGAGAGTCAAATACTTCTCGAAGACGAGATACAAGTCGTCGAGATATATCCTACTCGTAAAAACTGGACCCTGAAGCAACCTTGCTAGCCTCAACGTAGCCTTGCATGGTAACTTGCAATCGTACCGATCTTGTAAAATTTTCACCGCTGGTTCCGTACGGTGTACGCTCGATTTCATGAATTCCCGATCTTACTGTGATCTTTCTTTTGTACTTTGTTCCGAACAATGGCGCAGCTAATTACGCTGTTACATTCACGGTTAGTACATTTATGGTTACAGTTGTCTTGGATAGTTTCTCCCGATAATGATTCGTTTGTGTTTTAGTTTGTAGGCTGATTTTTCGTAATTTCTCTTTTGGGAATTTTTGAGAGTTGTGGGTTTTATGAGGTTTTTTTATTTTTGAGGAGGTTTGTTGATGTGCACTGGGTTATAAGTTGGTGAATTTAGAAAATTGGTAATTTAAGAGCTTGATCATTTTTGTTAAGTTTGTCGAAGTTGGTCATTTTCTGATGGAGAAGTTTGCCTAGAAATTTAGTAGTTTAAGTAAAGGTAATTTGACAAGTTAGAAGTTTGCAAATATTCCAACTGAGGAAGCACTTCTAAATTTTCCAACTTTCAAATTTTCATATGTAGAAATTTAGAAATATAGACATTGCAAATTTTTAAAATGTGGAATAGCTACCACTGATGCGTAGTGCACGATCTAGAGCTCACTTCTATTTTAAAAAATTTAATTAACACAATTTTATAAAAAGACTCCTTTTCCTTGTTTCAATTTAAACCTCCTTTTGTTTGCTTCAATTTAAAGCTTCAATTTCTGAGTACTAATTCCCCATTGAAATAAAATTTTCTCAACCTTCTCAACCTTAATTTTGATCTTGAAATCTTGAAATGTTCGACAAGTGATCATAAATAATTTATTTACGGAGAAATTTGTACGTGCAAAGCGAGTATAAACGCAGAGGATGAGAATAACCAGGATGTTAGTATTCTGTAACGTTTCCTCGCGGTTTCACAGAAAAGAATTTTCTTACCAGTCGATGCGGTACAATTATCTGCAGCCTTTTCCGTCTAACATTTATCAAGTGGCCAACGTGAAGCGTCTGATTTCCCAGGTGAGTTTACGGTATCTGGAAACGAGTACAGATGTACAGATATATTGCAGGTACCCTTGAAAATATACTTCTCTTTGGTGGGCAATCGATACCATTGTTGCATACTTGCTTGTTCGTGATAGTTCTTGGTTAGGTTCCTGCTTCCATGGGACTTCTAATGGGTCGTTTAGTCTGGGAACGTACTAGCTTTTTAGGTTAATAGTTAATACATAAATTCGAGTTCGTACCCACGTGTTGCGGG